AAATCTGTAGATAGGCATAATTCTGTGCCAGGTAGGTAGCACCAGAATGCAGATGCCTCTGAGGGCATTTCACTCTTCAGTAGTGAAATTTATTGCAATTTCTGCCATAAAAAGTAATTTCTAAATAGTGATAGCTAGGGGAATCCTTGAGGAGGCACTCTGGTCATCTTTTAGGATTATAGGTAATAGATTTGCTATTTGTATTATCCATATGAGAGTACAATGGGATATAATTTAAGGAGGAGTTGCATCATTTTTCTGTATTTTATAAAGCTTTCACCTATATGGTCTCAGTTGCTTTCTGAGATAGTTACCAGTTTTACAGACAAACTGAGATGCAGGGATGAGTGTATGTACCAAAAAACCTGCTAAGAAGTGGCAGAACCGGGCATTAAATAAAAGACTATCTACAAGACAAAGATGTGGATGTCCTCTTGATATCCTGGTTTTATGCTATCCTGCTGTAAGCTAGGTTACAGAATGTGGTGTTCTAGTAATCTACAGAAGCATTAAGAACAGATATACAACTCAATGTTCAAGAGAATTACAGAGTTATGAGAAGCTTCGCTACAGTGATTGTTGTCTTGACAATAACATTTGGGACATGCTTCTTCCTGTTTACTGTTAATGGATGCTTGTTGATATCAGAAGCAGCTGAGCATGAAGATCTGATAGAAACGATAGAGCCTTGCCCTTGTGGAAGAGTTCTGTTTAGATGTGATCATATCAGTCAGGGTATATCATAGAAGACCTCTTGCAAGAGAGATCCTCATTTGTTCTTTCTACTTTGCTGCTGTTCTGTGCGACCTCCGTGTAGAAGACAGAGGTGATGCTTGTGAAGCTACTCTTAGCACAAAAGGAAACTGTAGTGTTTGGAAGGGGGCTTTTGTCACTTTCTGAAACTGCCCTGGCTTCTGTCTAAAGGGATCAGTCCCAAAGCTACTTGTGATACCAATGTGCAAAAGAAAAAGCAGAAGTTTTTTTCATTTTTCCCTAGTAAGCATTACAAGAAGCTGAACTGGTTGCAAAGGCTGTTTTTCATCGCTGAAGATGGAGAAAGTTTCAGTTCACTTGGTGCTTAAACCTGATAACCAGGCTTGTCAGTGCTTAAGCTTGGGCTTTCCCAGTAAACTAGAAGCTTTCAATTGGAGAACTTTTATTCTCCCCTTAGCAATCAGGCTCCCTGCCATACTGCTTTTGTTGTAAACACAGAAATGGCATAATGCTGATTCTAGAAGATGCCTGTATCAAATCTAAAGAGCCATGGCAATCACATTCATTAATCACAATATATTCTGACTACCTTTATGCATTTTTTGGAAATAATACAGAACACTTGCACTGTGGCTGACATGCCTGTTCTAGGATTGTCCCCAAAACAGCCTAATGACCTATTCTGATATCTTCATGAGTGTTAGGTTGAAACTCGACCATTCTGTTGATACCTGTCCCAAGAGAATATTCTGACATCTCTAGACAGAATAAGCTAATAGTTAATATAGTATAAAAGGTAAGAGTCCCTTAAGACTTAACCATCATGTTAGAGCAGTTACTGCTATTTGGTTTTTTAATAAAGACTTGTTCTTCTATTATGGTTCATCAAGATATTTTCATAAACAATCAGCTTAGCAGAAAAGCCTGAGATTCAGATCATATTCCACAAGACCTTTTGAAGCTTATTGGATACCTCTCAAAGTATTTTAAGATACTTCTCACAGCACAGTGGTTCTAGAAAAATGGCAGGAAGCTTCCCAGTCCTATGTCTTAATAAAAAAGCTCTTCTAAAGCTTTACTTCATCAGTGATGGAGAGCTAAAACTGAGGTTGCTCTTCTCTATCTCAGACTGGTTTTTGAACAGAGAAAACAGGCAATTCCCCTGCCCTTATTTAAACTACTTAAGCCTCACTTCACACTTGCTCTATGCATTGTAGGATTAATGCCCATCCCTCAGCAATTATAAGCAGCATACTTATTGTTTGCTAATCCTTCCATACCATTAGGTGGTTCCAACGTTGACATGGAAAATCAAAGCATTTTTTTCTTTACAATTTGTCTTCTGTCTTGTCAGCCCAAAGACATTGTGCTGGAATGGGAATACAAAAGAAATTAAATATGAGGAGAGATAAGGGTGGGCTCTGGATGTACAAAAGATCTGAATCACAGCTGATACTCCAGTGTTGTTTACTTGTACTGTTCACTTGATGGTCAGGAAGATGCTTGAAAACTCAGCTGACTCTACTATGTAATACAATTATTCCTCTACAAACTAGATGCCTGGAGAAGCAGGGAAAAATTAAGAAAATTGAAGAAAATAGCTGCAAGAGAACATTTCGCATCTGAAAACATAGGAACTCAAAACAGAGTCCAAGTTTAGTCTCACTGGGTTAAAAAGGATAGGATCCATGGCATGTTTTTTTACTTATTCTGAAAGGAAGGAGACACATGAGGTAAAGAAAGTGAACCTATCTTGTGGTTTTGGCCTCCTTTGAGACAAGATGAGAGGAACAGGAAGAAAAGGGCTTCCCTTGCAGAATAAATCCATTCAAGGGAAATACAGAGTTTGAATAGTCTTCAATTGGAATGCTAAGATGCCAGAGAACATACAGAAAAGAAGTATAAATGTCAGTGATGCTTTTAAAACAAAGATTGAGATCATACCTTCTGTCCAGAACTATTTAATACAGCTACTTAATTCTTCACAGCAGAACTGACCTCAACTATCTCTGTTAATGAGTTCAAATGTACAGTTGAGAAAGATGCTTGGTATTGCAGGTTCCTTTGAATAGATTTTCTTTTAGGAGGTGATTGCTTTGAAAACAAATACAGTTCTGTAAGCTATAACTTCATATATAGTGCTAGATGTTTCTGTAATTCCTCTTAAAAAAAAACCAGTTATCTTTGGTCTTGGTTGTGAACTCCATGGGCTATTCAGACTGTTACAGGTGAAAGAAAAAAAAATCTTTTAAACTTTTTCTTTTACTCAGAATTCCTTACAGCTATCTGTATGTACCCTTTTCTTTATGTCATAGTCTTTAAGTTGTCTTATCTGAAGCTTTGCATTTGTTTAACATACAGTGGAATTAAGAGCATGTTGGCATTGTTCTTAGAGCACAAATGAAAGCAGTCAGAGTAGAGAGTATTGAATTGCACTAGGCAACTTTACTTCCCATTATAACTTGTACTTTTTGGACAGATTATTAATTTTGAAGGGTTTATCTGTTAATAAAGATAGGTCATGAGATACTTTCATAATAAGTAAAAGACTTTTTCCTTTCTGATGTTTATTTGGTTTGCAGTTTGTATGCTGTAAAATGAGTCATTTTTTGTTTAATAGGTATTTTAGATCTATGAAATGAAACCCTGCAAAAGTCATTCTGACAAGACTGACACATAGAGAATAGGGCTCAGCTGCTATAGACTTCTAGATGTGATGACAGCCTTAAAATAAATAATCAGGTACTGTGTGGAAGGATAGTGAATATCAGTTTAAATTGGTTGTCAGAATAAAGACTGTTTTATCAGTGGCTGCTGCAGGGCAAAATTATGTTATTTCTTATGCTTCAAACTTTGCCCTTGTTATTCTGGGGTCCTCATTACATGAACTGAGAAATCATAGGTAACATTTGGGTTATATACAGATACTTTTTTTTGTGGGTCTTCATAGTACATTCTGGTTAAGTTTTTGTTTAGGAAACCTTATAGTAGCAATAACAAATACTCATCCACACCTTTTAGATTTGCATTTGCACACACCAGAGTTGTATTATTTCTGACCTGGATTATTTTGTGAGATTTAAAACTTTTTAGTTAAAACCAAAACCAAACTAAAACACAAACAACCCAAACACAACAAATGATCTTTGTCTTCTGTCAGCTTAGAAGTGATTATGATGTCTTGTTTTATATAAGTGCTTTACCTGCTAATTCATGTTAAGGCTATAAATTGCTTTTTCTGTCTTATTTTATTAACAATCAATCTGATGTTAGAAACATTTTGTCAATATTAGTAATTACTTGCTAGTGATCATATATTAGTGATTTCTTTCTCACTCGGAAGGTAATGACTTGGTAGCATCAGTTTAGAGTATTTTCCAAATATTGTCAGCCCTGGGTCTGGCTGTGTCTAGAAAGAAAAGGAAAGACACAATTTAGAGACTTGATTTTGATGTCCTACAAACATATCTAATAGACTTATTCTGTCAACTATGTAAAAGACTATATGTAGCTATACTTGCATGAAATATGAAAGCGTGGTGGAAAAGTAGTACGTAATAAACCTTGTTCTTCAGTTTCCATTCAGTGGTCTTAATACAAATAGAAATGCCATTATGAAATGGAAGGCTGTTTTAGGCCATGGTCATGGTATTCGTACATATTCTTGAATACTAAAGACTGCAGATTTCTGCTTTTAACTTAGTTCCTATTGTTATTTCTTGTCTGCCTATTAAAATGATAGAATTTACATATGTGCACATGTGTCTTGTTTTGAAGACACTGGAACTTGTTACATAGTTGCTATACGTGTACCCTCCGATCAGTAAGTTACTTGTCCTTTATTGCGTTTTTATCAGTGAATTCAAAGATTCAAAGGCAAAAATAATAGGCAACAGTAGGTAATGAAGAGAAGTTTATACAACAAATGAATTGGTTCAGTAGCTAGACCTCCTATTCTTCTTTCATTGGCACTTGTAAGATCTTAAGCCTTCCCAACCATAACTTTAAATATAAAATTCCCACATCCACATTTACAGTGTGGACCAAGGGCTCAGTGATGAAAAAAAATCCTAAATTAAAGTAAATATGGTTTCTTTTCTAATTAATGAACAAACAGTCTAAGTTGTTATTGTCACGTGGATGCTTACCTTTCTTACCTTAGGGTATGTCTATATCCTTCAAGCTTTCATCTTTTCAAAGGTAGAATGTGTAATGATAAGCGTTGCTTCTTAAATGTAACTACTTTTATTTCTTGTTGTTCTTCCTACTCCCTTCCTTCCTTTCAGTGGAGCAGATTACTATGACTATGGCCACGGACTGAGTGAAGAAACATATGACTCTTATGGTGAGTAGCTTTATGAGCTGAATGACTACAGTAGTAGACCCTTAAAAAATATAATCAAAGAATTTCCATAAGGCAAGCTTCGGTTCTGCAGTAGATTAACAGCTGTTCAGGGATTCCTGCACTGTCACAGAGCTCGTCATATGGTTATTGAGAAAAATACTGAAGGAGGCTTCTATGGTCTGTTAACTACCATAGTCATGTGAAACTAAAGTTAAAGAAATAATAAAATAAAACCTAAATCATGCTGCAAGTACCCTTCTCATGTCACATTCAATGAGATTTAAGAAAAAAAATGGGGGCGTAGGACCTTTTTTCAAGGAGCTATTCGCAGCTGAAGGCAAACGCTTCTAGTGTAGCACAACTGGTGTTGAAACTTCACACAAGGTAAGAATATGCTGAAGTTCTCAGCTGAATCAGGACCTAATTGAGTGCATTTTAGACTTATATGGTCTTTTTGTATTAGGTCATTTTTATGCATCAGTCTTGTGAAATCAAGCAGGGAGTCATTATGTAAAGGTTATGAAAGTACTTTAGGTAGATAATAGACATGAGGGCAGTAGGTTACTCATATGGAGACAAAACAATGCATAATGAAGCAAAAAACATACGCCAGTGGTAAAGATCACATTTTTTTTAAAGCTAGAAGTGTGGTAGTGACAGGTTTAATTAAAGAAATCTGTTACGGATTAGAAGCACAAAGCCTGTTAAAAGGCACCTTTGCTTAAGGGATAAATGTTAAATCTCTGGCTAGAAATCAGAGAAATATAATATAGATCATTCAAATCTCAAACATCTGAGGATTTTTATTAACTAGTGTAGAGAGTTGTGATTCCGGGTAATGGATGCTTCAGTGATTTTTAGAGCTCTACTTAAAATTTTCTGTGGTGTATTTCTTCAGCTCCATTTGGAAGTGTTTTGAAAACTCAAATGACCTCAACTAAGTTGTGATAAATGCACCTAGTACAAAAGTTTGCTCAGTGTTTTCTGCTTAAACTAATTATTTTGCTTAAGGGGAAAGTCAGTTCATCAAAAGAAGCGATCGCTTGAAATTCCTCTGTCCCCCAGCACTTTCAATTGGTGTTGATAGATAAATAGCTTAAATCTTTATTTCAGCATTAAAATAAACCGTTTGCCATTATAAGCCTGATATTTCTAAGACTACTTCACGAATGCAAAATTGATGTGTGAGGGGAAAGGTATGAAACTGCTAAATGTAGATAGACTGAGGGGGAGAAATGTGGATTGCAGTATTTAAGGTTGAAAGTATGGATTTTTCACTACTTTTGCATTTAAAATTGGTTTTCTGTTTATCAAAGCACAGCCACTCAGGATATTAAGTGATGTATTTACTCGAGTTGAGAGGAAAACTATAAATAACTTGAAGAATAATTATGGGTTACAGCCACTGATGTTTTCATACATACAAATAAATAGATACACACTTTATTCTTAACTAGCTGACCCTGAAGTACATTCTGAAAAGCAGAGTTAGATACTAATCATGGAATCACTTAGGTTGGAAAAGACCTTTAAGATCATTGAGTTCAACCATAAACCTAGCATGGCCAAGTCCACTGCTAAACCATATCCCTAAGCATCACATCTCCATGTCTTTTAAATGCCTCCAGGGATCCGGACTCAACCACGTCCCTGGGCAGCCTGTTCTAGTGCCTGACAACCATTTCAGTGAAGAAATTCCTCCTAATGTTCAATCTAAACCTCCCCTGGTGCAACTTGAGGCCATTTCCTCTTGTCCTGTCACTTGTTACTTGGGAGAAGAGACCATCCCTCACCTCACTATAAGTTCCTTTGAGGTAGTTGTAGACAGCAATAAGGTCTCCCCTCAGCCTTTTCTGTAGGCTAAACACCTCCAGTTCCCTCAGCCAATCCTCATCAGACTTGTGCTCTAGACCCTTCACCACCTTCATTGCCCTTCTTTGGACTCACTCCAGCACCTCAATGTCTGTCTTGTAGTGAGGGGTCCAGAACTGAACACACAGTACTCAAGGTGCAACCTCACCAGTGCCGAGTATAGGGGGACGATCACTTCCCTAATCTTGCTGACCACACTGTTTCTGATACAGGCCAGGATGCTGTTGGTCTTCTTGGCCACCTGGGCACACTGCTGGCTCATATTCAGCTGTCAGTCAACCAGCACCTCCAGGTCTTCTCCGCTGGGCAGCTTTCCAGCCACTCTTCCCCAAGCCTGTAGCACTGCATAGGTTTGTTGTGACCCAAGTATAGGACCCAGCATTTGGTCTTGTTGAATTTCACACAGTTGGCCTTGACCCATTGGTCCAACTTGCCCAGATCCCTCTGTAGAGCCTTCCTGCCCTCAAGCAGATCAACACTCCTGCCCAGCTTGGTGTTGTCTGCAAACTTACTTGAGGGTGTACTAGATCCCCTTGTCCTGATCATTGATAAAGATAGTAAACAGTACTGGCCCCAATACTGACCTTTAGGGAACACCACTTCTGACTGGCCACCAGCTGGATTTATCTCCATCCACCACCACTCTTTGGGCCTGGCCATCCAGCCAGTTTTTTACCCAGCAGAGTATGCCCGTCGAAGCTGTGAGCGGCCAGTTTCTCCAGGAGAATGCCATGGGAAATGGTGTCAAAGGCTTTACTAAAGTCTAGGTAGGCAACATCCACAACCTTTCCCTCATCCGCTAAGCAGGTCACCTTGTCATAGAAGGAGATCAGGTTAGTCAAGCAGGACCTGCCTTTCATAAACCCATGCTGACTGGGCCTGATCACCTGGTTATCCTGTACATGCCACGTGATGGCACTCAGGATCATCTGCTTCATAAGCTTCTCTGGCACCTTGGTCATGCTGATAGGCCTGTAGTTCCCTGGATCATCCTTGCAGCCCTTGCAGATGGCGTCACATTTGCTGACCTCCAGTCAACTGGGACCTCCCCAGTTAGCCAGGATTGCTGATAAATAATTGAAAGTGGCTTTTTTTTTTTCTTTGCTTGGCAAGCTCCTTCAGTACCTTTGGGTGGATCCCATCCGGCCCCATAGATTTCTGTGTGTCTGTCTACATGGTATAGCAGGTCACTAACCATTTCCCCTTGGATGATCGAGGCTTAATTCTGCTCCCTGTTTTCTGCTTCAGGGCACTGGGTACCCGGAGAACTGGTCTTGTTACTAAAGACTGAGGCAAAGAAGGCATTGAGTAGCTCAGCCTTTTCCTCTAGCCTTTGTCACTGTTTCCCCTCACATCCAATAAAGGATGGAGATTCTCCTTAGCCCTCCTTTTGTTGCTAATGTATTTGTAGAAACTTTTATTGTCTTATCCTTACAGTATGTAAAGAAGATTAGGTGTTTCAAACTAAAATTCGTAAGACTGCATAGTGAGCAGATAGTTGCCTAGTGCTGGCCAGGAGTAAACTTTTCCTCCTCTGAGAAGCTCAGGTGCCAATCCAGAGGAAAAATACTAGTATTTTTAGAATTCAGAGCCCTGGATGCCCCCAAAATGAAAACTGATAAAAGGTAAGGTGACTCTTTACCCTACTGATTTGACCAATTGATTGAAAAGGAGCAAGTACTCCTCTTAAACTGTAACCAAGACTGCTTTTTACATTTAAACAGTTCTTTGCAGTGGTGCTTAAAAGCAAGGATATTTTGAATTCTTATCCCTTAGCCAGCTGCCTTTACTGTTAGGCTAGGATTCTTTTCTTTGCTTAAGATAAGCCTTGCTTTGTGTGTGATGAAGAAACACAAGAGGTTGTTTCTCATGTATGTTATTCTGCTATCAGATTCCTGTGGAACTTGCCTGAGGTACAAGTTTAATTCTTTCAGCCTTACAGCAAATTTGAACTTGTTCCTTTTGCGCTCTAGGCAAAGGTTCTGACCACCTAGGTATAATATATAACCTAGGCTCTGCAGGCAGCCACCTAAATTTTTAAAAGTAAAGTAGCTAGGATGAGACTTCTATGAAGAGATTGTGAAACTGGAGCCTTGACTTAAGGGATTCTTGTCACCTAATTTCAGATATCTACTGTCTAGGTGAGTTACCTTACCATTCAAAGTACAGGGGTTCTTTGACAACTTTGTTTTGTTTTGTTTTTTTAATGGACTAGAAAGAAAAACTGATACCTACAATTTAGGTTACCATACATTTGGATTTCACCCTTAGTTTCTGGATTGCATTGGGTTCGCTTGGACACTTGTCTGCTTAGGGCAGGGCAGTTCTCCAAAAGTAGGTATGGAAGCACATACACTGTTTTCAGATGTGTTTGCTTTTTGGATTTTTTAGTTGTTTTTTTCTTAGGGGTGATGTAGTGTACTTGATTAAAATATACCTAAGTACTGCCTCATTATACTCTGCATTTGGTCCTATGGTTTCCCTCTTGTTGTAAATGCCTGGTACAGTAGGTCTGACTCTCATTTAAGACAATGCTTTGCTACTTTTTGTTAGTATTTTTGTTACTGCTAAAATGTGGTAGTATTATGAAGCATTAAATATAGCACAAGTTTTTCACAAACTTGTTGTCAAAATTCAAACAAGCAATTTCTTTTGCCCTTTTAATTTTTTTATAATCTACCTTCCTATTTCTTGCATTTTAGAGGAAGTGTATGTTTACAGTGAAGTCGAATATTGCCCCTAGAATGCTAGAAGCCACAGGTGTTTGTAGTGATACTTGAGGCTTTTCACTATTGGATTGCATATTTGAATTAAGCCGAAATTGGTCCTGATGGAAAGAAACTTATTTCTGAGGGTAGCTTATTTGCTTATACATAATTCATATCCTCCATTCATTTCATCCTAGCATAATTATTTGTAGGTCTGCTACTAGAGCTGACATTTCTGTGTATTTGCAGCAAGCAGGTCCAGCTGAATGCCAGAGCCCTAAATATTTTTGCCATTAGCCTGTCACACTCCCTGCTGTTACGTGCTGAAAAAGCATTGTGGGGTAGCTCATACATATGTTGTACCTGGATTTTTTGGTTCAAGTGTTAGACTTTACTTTTTGCACCTTGGTTTCAGTAAATAAAATGTTGCTATCTAATTCACAGTTAAATAAGGAAAAAATAAGTACAGCATCTGAGAACATTGGAAGGGGGTCTAACTATATTTTCCCTTCTTGTAGGGCAAGAAGAATGGACCAACTCACGACACAAGGCACCTTCTGCAAGGACAACAAAAGGAGTCTACAGAGACCAGCCATATGCCAGATACTGATTGTACTGTCTGATGTTGTGAAATATCCAATCTCCACCAGTCCTGTATACTGTTCAAAGTAATTTTTTCTATGAACACTCCCTTTTTATTAAATCAAAGCGCATAAAAATCTGAATGGATGGACTGAACTTAAAATATTTTGTTGAAAGAACAACCTGGACAGAAGGATATGTAAAACAAGGAACTTTGTTATTTCCAAACTGTATTTGAAAAAATAGGTGATCAAAAAAATAACCTTTGATTAACTAGTGTTAAACAAAAAATAGGTTTACTAAATATGTTAGTCCATTCTTTTAACATAAGCGTAACCTTTTATTTTAAAGGTTTTCAACAATTTAGTTTTTAGTTTTTATTTTCAGCCATTTGCTAGATTTTCTCTGCAAACATGCGTAAAAAGGGAAGCAAATTACAAATGCAAATAATGTGGTATTTTGTAACTCAAGTCTTGAAATGTTCTGTAGTGTTAAGCAAAGTTTTACCCTTGCTTGATACTAAATAAACTTTTGAAAGAAAATCAGTGTGTGTGAGATTAATTTTATGCTTTATCTTATAATAAAACTTAATAAATAGTAGTAAACAGGGAGAAATGTTTAACAGTGATCAGCATAAAAGGCTCATATTAAACATTGCGCGACTTCTTTAAAAAAATGGTATAAACCTAAATGTATATATATACTCACAGTAGATATAAATGCTGTTTAAAGTATCCAAACGGTATGGATCTGCTGGAGTGCCACATTAAATCAAAATATTTCTGTTAAAAATGGTTTAAAATAGCAAATGAATTTTCTGAAAAAGATGTGACTAGTTTTCATCTTGTTGAGCGTTTTTTCACTAGTGCAACTTTGGAATTTTTATGAGAATTTTGGTACGTTAATGACCACCTCGTTCCGTGCTGGAAGCAATAAACACAAAGCTTTTAAAGACTTTCTGACTTGACTAATTGAGGTCGCTTTCGTCAGAGGCAGAGGATGTGTAACCCTTAAAACGGTCTTCATTTGCAAAGGTAAATAAATCAAATAAGATTTTAATCTCACTTAATTTATCTTAATATAACCAATAAAAACAGGGAGGCTACAACTTAGAAAGTTTCATTTTAGAATATAGGAAAGACTTTGAGGACACCTAAATTCTCATTTTAAAACGTTTAATTTGTATTAGTAATCTAAAAAGCCTTAGCTTAGCTAGTTAAATTTGGACAAACTATTCCCTATTAAACAACTGTAAAACCTCATAACTAATAGTTTGTAATATATTATTTTTCCATAAATTCTAGTAACTCAAACATTGCAAATGTTATCTAAAGCTTTTTGTTAATTGTTAAGTTTCTATTAATTATAGTTTGATTTACATTGTTTTCTTTAGTTTTTATTTGAAAGTCTTTGAAATTTAGTAAAATCTTTTTTTTCTCTTGTCAGGAAGCCCACCTCCTTGGACAGCCAAGAGAACAAAAACCTTAATCTTCTGATGCTTTGGTAGGTATCTGTAGTCATCTGTGAAATTATTAGATAATGGAGCTTTTGAGCAGGTCCTTAATTCTTTATATATGAGGCTTTAATTTATGTAATGATTGCAGGTACTGAGTTAGAGGCCAGCAAATATCATTGGCCATGTTCAGTTCTGGTGGGAAAAGTCATAGTTTTGAACTATCATTAAACAGCACATTAAACTGTCCTGTGTGTGGACACTGTCCTCTGGCTGTTTGTTTATTGATAGCTATACATAGTTTTGACAGCGTTTCAACCAATAAAGTATTTCATTGGACAGAGGAAGGTGAAAGAAAATGAATGTAACTTTATGCTAGTAGTGTTCAAATGGGAATTTAGAAGTCTAATCTGGTCAGCAAACATGTTTAAAATGGTTTTCCAAAGCTGAAGGAAGCATTTTGTAGAATGCTTTTCTAAGTCAAGCATTTCTGCACAAGGAGCAGGTTGATTTTTGGCACGAGGGCAGGCGAACAAGTCCATTGAGAAACATTAGCTGAAGAATAGCTAGCTCCACTGTTTCTGGTGAATGCAATATATAAAGTAAGAAATAATTTAACTGTATTTATGCTTAAATACTGTAGAGTTTAAATAGAACAGATTTTTTTATTTCCTACTTGCTATGGTAATTCTTCCTGCTAACTTCATTATCTCAGTGCCCTTAGTTGACATGACTTAGATAAATACAGCTCTATAATTCGAAATAGTGTGCATTGTACTGCCTCTGTATGCCATAGTAAATTTAAGAGACCGCTGTCAGAGACTAAAGGAACTTTTTGTACATACAAAATGGCTTTAGAACAATTTTGAGAATATTTTAAAGATTTAAAGCAAAGGACCCTTTTGAAGTTAGGAGAGCTTGGAGAAGATTTCTGCCCTCTGGGGCTCAAAAGGGCAAAGATTTGATACCAGCTGCTAGAACTGCTATGGCAAAATTGAGTATATAAATACCTTTTAAACATATTTATAATGTCATTGGCTGAATCTCTATTTCTGTTCACATTTTAAATCACAGAATATGATGAGTTACATAAGTCACAAGTTTTCATTTGCAAGTATGAAGTTTTACATTAACCATATACAATGAAACTTGATGGATTGAAACTAAAATACCTAGTAACAAGGATGGCTAGTAGACAAATAAGTGAATCAGAAGTTATTTCAACTTTCTGTAATATTTGTCCAACTCTTTTTTTATGCTATCTTTCCTCAGTGCCTCCTATATGGAGAATGAATGTATCAGCATGCTTTCATGCCATTTTTCTGCTACCCTGCCCTGAAGTCTATAAACCCTTAAATTGTTTCAGGTTCCCTTTGCAGGAAGGAGGGAAGTGTTGTTGCTGTCAAATCATGCAGAGGCTGTTTGGGTGCACGTTTTGTGACAGTGTCACATGAGTAAATTAAAATTCCCTTCCTGACTAAGAGCATGCCCATGCTATGGTCAGCAGAAGTGATTGTTTTGGTCATGTGCCAGATGTGCATCTGACAAGATGGAGTGGTCTGTGACCATATGGTGCTCTAAATAAGTAGCTGTGGCCCACCTTGTTGGAAAAGTTAACCATTTGAGTCCACTTTTATTTGTTCTTTTAATGAGTTGCAAGATCTAAATTTGATACATCTAAGAAAGTATGCATATATTCAGCATAGTAGTGGTATGAATTTTAAATCCATTAAGTCTTCCTTCTTCCAGTGTTTCACATTGATACATCTTATTTCTCTTAAGAAAATGTGTTTTCATGCCTCTTAAAGTTGTATCAATTCTCATGTCCTATACATATGTGTACAATAAACTACATCAGTTAAAACAGCTGGTATTAGATATTCTTAGAAACTGTGTGTTTGCAGTACAAAACTTCTCTTGACAGTTCCTGAAATAACATGCACTAGCATTGTCTTCTGCTATTGCATTTCTGGTTTGTTTTTTGTTTTGTTTTTTTCTCTAGAGTGATCTCTGAAATGAAATCCATTAGATATTGAACGGAGGGAAAAATAATCTAAAAAGGTCTCTAAATTTATAAAACTGTATCAATGTAGAAGGCAGCCTTTCTTTTATTGTGACAAACTAACCTAGAAGTGTTTATCTGTTCTACTAGGGTTTTGTATTCTGCCCACTAGTCAATTGCTGTATGTTACTGGTCAAACAAGTAATGTTAATGACTATAATCATATCCTTAATTTGTCTTTATTGAACCTTTTATCACATTTGCACTGAATTTCAATGATAGTTTCTGCAATAGTTTCCATAAATCTACATACATTTATTATATGCATAATTGCCTGATCCCACTGCTTATAATCTGGCAGTCTTCAGAGGATTCATGGTCACTAGTCTCAGGATGTATACAAATAAATTGTATTTTGCTCTTTTTCAGGAACTTCTGCCATGTTAATTACAGACTGCTTAGAGCATTGTACTTATCTGTGTGCCTAGACAACGAGACAGGCTACAGAGTGTGAAAATCCTCTTCTGTATTTCTTGTATTAAAGCCTTAAAGTGTATAACAGTATACACTTTTAAAAATAATTGTATATTTAAACTCTTAATTGTTTAGTGATGCGACAATGTTTTATTTGGTGCTCAATAAAGAATCTTCATCTAAGTTCCTCTTACAAAGCAATAATGCAACCTCATGTTCCTTTAGTGACTTATTAGCCTTATTCAGCAAGTGTCAGAGTGTGAAGTCTCATGACTAGAATTTAAATGCTTTTGGAAATAGCTTGTCTAATGTATGAACAACATGGATAAGTTAAAGTGAAGATAGGTGTCTTCTGCTGAAGCTTTTCTTAATAGCTAATTGTAAACAGGTCTACTCAAAACAAGACTGTTGGGTACAGATGATACTCCAACTTCCATTTCCTTCAGAAACTTGTGTAACATGAAGGTGTGTTAATCCCTGTCAATTATACCATGCTGCTTATTCTCTTTCACTTGGTGTTTGATGCATAGAATGTTTTCTGTAATATACAGTCACAGGTTTTCTAGTAGTTAGTCTTGGATGAGGCTTTTACACATTAATAAATCTTGTATGTAACAGTTAGGTTCCCTCAGTGCTTTCTGTTTTATATTAATTGTGATTGTGATAATTTGTAACAGAAATAAAATTCTGATAATTTCCTGTGTTCTTTTTCCTAAATACTGCTTGCAAAGGATGAGTGTCGCATTCCTCAGTTATGTTTCCACCAGATGCATTTTTCTTGACTGAATCTCAAATTCATCCCAAGAAAAGCATCATTTGCATTGCTCTTGTTTTGTTTTATTTTGAAAATAAGCAATATCACTTAATAGCTTCATGCCAAATGCCTTCTCTTCGGCATGTATTCATAACTTCTAATACCATATACTGGCTGTTGAAGAATGGCTTTGAAATTTATGGGGATGTGGAGAAAATCAAGATTTCCTGTTAACCCTGGCACTGATCAAAGTGCCTTGAGTAAGAGATCATTTTTAATAGATGAAAAAAAAAATCTGACAAAGTAAGAAGTCTGGTTTTATCCTTCAAATATTTAAGGTGATTTCATCAGTTGATCTCACAATCCGGAAATATTTTCCCTGCCATCATCTGTCACTGTACCACAACTGCATTTCTGCAATGCTTTCCACAGCAAGGGATAGTAGTTATTAAAAATAAGTAAAAGCAAAATCCAAAAACCTTTGAATAAGTGCAAGAGATGTATAATAATGGTGTCCTTCAGATTGACAGGCAGGAACCTCTGGCGTGGAACAGCACCTAACATTTTAAATGCTAGCCAAGTATAAAACTTGTATATAGATACTGTGAGGGGAATTTAGATAAGCAGAATGCAATTTCACTTGCTGTAATTTGGACCGGACACAAGGATTACCAACACAATCTCATTTGAGGAGTGCTATGAACTATTTAAGGAGTGAATTATGAAGCTTTCCACTCTGGAGTCATGAACAGAGCTTCTTAATGTCAATACTAAAATATTTTGCTAGTACGACTTATTTTAATATGTGACTATCAGAGCTGTCTAGCAAACCCAGTAATTTTTCAGAGATCTTCTCGAG